AGGACAAGGGGCAATGGGTGCAAACAGGAGCATAGGAGGTTCCATGTGAATATCAGGAAGAACTTCTTTCCTGTGAGAGTGACAGAGCCCTGGGACAGGCTGCCCAGACAAGTTGTGGAGTCTCCTTCACTCGAGACATTCAAAACCCACCTGGACACGTTCCTGTGTGATGTGCTCTGGGTGACCCTGCTCTGGCAGGGGGGTTGGACTGGGTGAGCTTTCGAGGTCCCTTCCAGCCCCTGTGATTCTATGATTCTATGATTAACCTAACTCTACCAAGTCCAATGATTAAACCATGTTCCCAAGCACCACATCTACGTGGCTTTTAAACAGCTCCAGGGATAGAGACTCAACCACCTCCCTGAGCAGCCTATTCCAGTGCTTAATTACCCTTTCGGTGAAGATATTTTTTTTCTAAAATCTGATCTATATCTCTCCTGATGCAACTTCAGACCATTTCCTCTTGTCCTATCAGCAACACTCCCAAACCTCCACCCCTTCATGAACAGCCATTTGGTGACTCTCAAGAGAGCTCCCCTTCCAGGCTGCATTGTATTTTGAGGATCAACCCAAAAACAAGTTACGAAGAAGATGTGGTGCCTCTGTTTAGGAGGTCTATTTGAAAGGAGACCCTAGAGATGGCTTAAATGGAACAGCTGGGGGATTCCTTGCCTTGGACAAATGAAACTGTGAAACATTGTAGTGATTCTTTGACTCAGAAGTAGGGTTTGCTCCTGCTCTCCTTTTTCAATACTCTATTACTCTGTCAGAACAGAGTAAGGAATTGTTTGCATACCATCTTAGACTTTTCACAAATCCTCTCAGGGCACACAGTGCTCAGGCTGTTCGTCAGCTCCAGACTGAAGCCTGATTCAGGAAAATTCTGGAGCCCAAAATATCTACTAATATCTCCCTGGATTCAGAAATTCCTGAAAGTTACCATCACCAGATGGTCATGACAATGCATTATGATGGACCTTTCAGTTGAAGAAAAATTTAACTCAAGACTGGATGCTCTCTTGAAGTGCATGGCTTGACCAAACTGGAGCTATGGGACTGAAAGAAGGGAAATTGAATGCTTTGTGCATTCAGGTCTGGTGCTGTCTCACACCTTTTGGCCTTAAAGGCTATGAATCTTAAACATTTTCTGAAAAACTGATGTCCAGAGGGCAAAACACAGAATTTTTTTTCCTATTAAAGTCAGATTGTCCCATCTCTATAGCCATTTCCTGTAACAATGAATAAACAGTAAATAAAACTAACCACATTAGAGATGATTCCTACGTTCTGGAGTTTGATCCTGAAGCCAGCTGTCTTTTGTTACAGAAATTTGGGGCAAGTAATGGCAGTAGTTCTACTATATGCATTTTCACATCCATGCATACTGATTTTTGTAGGACAAAACAATACACGTAGTGCACTAAACCTGTTTTCCTTATTTACTGAGTAGGACAAGAGAGACTGTTCCTATTGTCATTGTCTATGGTAGCACAGAAAGTTCAAAGAGCAAGTATCACTCATGCCTTGGTTGATGTTCAGGGACATGCAGTGTCTGGATGGATGCTGTGGCAGGGGATTTAAACTAGACTATCCATCCTCTTCCTCTGTATTCATATGCATTGCTTGAGAATTCATTTGTGGTTCAATAAAAATCCTCTTAAAAGACAGACCGAATGATTTGTGAAGGAGAAACAGGAACAGAAAAAGAAACAAAAAAAGCAGCAGGAAGGAAAGGATGGCAATAAATTTGTATTAAGGTGACTTTTCCTTTTCCTCCCTCAGAGGAAGAACTCTTCTCTTCCCACCCATCATACCTCACCCTTGATCTGCATTCTCAGGTCTAGAGATATGTAAGGATGACTTAAGTCCCAGTAAATGTATGGCCTGGTAGCTCCTCTCCTTTCCATTTAGCCTTCCCATGACTTTCACTCCTTTGAACTTTCCACAGTTTTAAACAGAACAAACACCTTTGATTCATCTCAGAGGCAGACGAACTTCAGCTCTGTGCCTTTCTCATTATTCAGTGTTAGGTCTAAAGCTCTAGGGGTAAGTATTCACTTGAGAACAAAGGTCACAGCTGCAAATAGCTGCTGGAGCTATTTAATTCCACAGAGGAGGTAGGAAGTGCTGTCCAGAGTCTAATGTCATCTTTTCAGTGGGAGAAGTCAGAAATAGGATGGTGGAGAAAAAGACACAGAGGACTTAAAAATAAGAGAACTGAGCCCTTGTGGCAAAGGCCAACCACGTATTGGACTGAACTAGTAAGAGTGTAGCTAACAAGGCAAAGGAGGTGATGATTCTCCTCCCTCCATCACTTGTGAGTATACAGGTGGAATACTGTCTCCAGCTTTGGGATTCCCAGCAAAAATAAATAAATAAATAAATATAAATAAATAAATTCCTATAAGACACAGAAATACTAAAACTTGTCAAGGGGAAACCCACTGAGATGCTGAGGAGCTGGAGCATTTGATTTACAGATCTGACAACTGGATTTGTTCAGCCTGAAGAAGAGAAATCTAAGGAGGATCCAATTGCAGTTTCTCATTGTACAAAGGGGCTATGGAGAAGATGGATCCTGGGCTCTTGTCTGATAGTCACCTTCTACTGATTTAAAAGCATAGCAGTGAAACATGTTTTAATAGTTAAATGCGTTAAGATTCTGATTTGAAATAGAAAGAAGATCCGGGGACAGATGAGCATTAAATTCTTTAATAAATTGGCTGACTTTCACAGGGAAGGAACTTTTTTTTGTTGTTTTTGCTTTCTATAGACAGTGTCTGTGAACACTGATTTTCAGTATATTATTTAGCATCTTGCTGACAGTGCATTTCAACCTGTGAGCACCGGCCTCTATGTCAAGTCCTGACATCCATGAACCCTGTTTTTCCCTATCCAGCAGCTGACATTTAGGGTCCTCCCATTTCATTCTCCTGGTTATCTTGTTGTAGATAGGCAAACATGAAGCTGTCATGCTCCTTCCACTTCAGAACAGCACTGTGGGGCTCATTCATATCCCTGTATTTACTTCACTTCATCTTCTGAGTTGTCCATGTCCTGTCTGAATGGATGTTGATGCCAACAGCTTCTCTTTAGCTCCCAAACCTTTCAAGATTTTTATCTCAGGCTGTACCAAGGGCTTTACTCTCACACTTAGTATACAATACTAGCCTTTATTTTCCATACAAAATGTGTTTCAAATGAATCCCTTCTCTGAACTTCCCAGTGCCATAGAAGGATTATGAACCTCCTCTGTCCCCCAAAATAGTGAGTGGATGTTCCTGAACAGCCTGTGTCTTGGGCTTCCCTACATGTGTAGTCAAGAGAACTTTGACAGCCTCTGAGGTAAAAGGCAGACTGGAGGAGATAATGAGTTTACTTGAATTAAAAAAACCTATATACCATAAATGCTTCTCTCTGAAATACCCCATTTTTAACAAGGGGAAAGACCTTCCCAAGCTGCTGGGGCCAAGATTTGTGCTGAGACCAAATGAAGATATGGAATAGTTTACAAAGATCTGCCACAGAAATGAAAGAAATGTACTCTGCACCATTAACCTGACTTGCCTGCAGTACTAGTGAATGCTCCCTAAGAAGTTCCACCAGACAGGCAGCAGGAAACCCAGATATTAACATTCATTTTCAAAATTTAACCATCAAATAAAAGTGAATTATTAAAAAAGAAATTATGGGAAGAAAAAGAAGTAAAATGTGCCATCTTAGATGCCTGCAGGGATTTGTATTTTTTCAAGTTGAATAGATTGAAACAGATGAAACACTGTACCTTAGGTGCATTGCACCTTGCACTTCCTACTGCAATAGTAAGGAATTCCAGATAAAGTTCAACTGGTACTTGTGGCCATAAATTAGGACTTGGTTTTACTGAGTGTAATGAATTTACTTAGTTCACAAACATCTTTCAGCACATTTAGAAAAGGCATTAATTTATTATTTTTTTTTTAACCAAGGAACTGCTTCAGTATTTCAGAATATTTTCCACTGAAACATTTAACGTTAAATATTAATGTTTATTTTAAGGAAAGTCTCCAAATACTAAAGCATATACACACAGATACAAGTTACATATATACAAGGAATAAATGCATATGTAATGCAAAACAAACAGTGACATATGAAGCTTCAAGGTACTCATTCAGTGAAACTCCAACCAGAAAAGCAGAAGCATTATTTTCTTCCAAGAAGTAGGAAAAAGACTTTGATAACACATGATGTGTAGTGTGTACCTTGGACTGCAGAGACCCCAAACAGTGCAGATATAATATAGTTTGAGTATTGGTTGTGTGCAGCTCTGAATGGAGCATGTGATTTTTATCCTCTCTGCTATTTGCATACCAATGAACGTTATGGTAGCACTGAATTTATTCATGTAATATTTTAATCCAACCAGAACATTTGACTCTACTTTCCACAGAGATTGCTTCCAGAGATTCCCTATAGTCTTCTAAAAATGGCTCTTTTTTCTATAAATAGAATTTGATGGATAAAGAGAGACTTGTGTTCTTTCTGTATCCCTATGCCTCAAACAGGGAAGAAAAGACTTAGAAAAGAAGGCAAACTGCTCTAGAAGAGGATTATGGGTGAACAGTAGTTATCATGTGCCCAGTAAGTAATTCAAGGATGTAGTTGGACTGGTTTATAACTGACAAGTGTTAGTGCAAAATGCTGACCAAAGCTCAACAGAGGTCTACAAGAATATGTGTTTGTCAACCTAGACAGTCATGCAAGAATCATTTATTGACTGTAGCAATTTTTTTCAAGTTGATTCCTACGCATGTATTTTTTTTTCTCTCATTTGTGAGTCTAGGAGGGAAAATACAGGCAAACAGAAATATTTAGTCTCTAAGAACCTGTTCATTTGAAACACATGCTGAGAAAATTGCGTGATAAACAAGTAAAAATAAGAATATATTTAAAATTTCCAGTTCCTAGAGTTGTTATCTTACAATGGCAGATCCGACATCCCTTCTTGTAATGGTGCTTCAGGTGAGATGAAAAGGTAGTTTCTCACAGATCCAGAATTGCTTTGTCAAACAGAGGTTGCTGGCATAAATTGTCTGTCCATATAAAGCAGCACAGAAGATGTTATCATATAACATAACCCTAGGAAATTAAAAGATATTGCTTAATGATGTTTTGGTGACATCATGTGATCTATATTTGAACCATTTTCAATCATATTGACTTGCCCCTGGAATGCAGACCCATTTTCTCCTCGGAGCTATTTCATTTGTGTCAAGTGATCCTTTTGAGTTTGGTGCATGTGATCGAGCTGTGCTTTGCCACCCATTGTTCCTTTTTTAGGATACAAATTTGGAGCTTTATAGCAGATACTACGGTCTCCACGCTGCTTTGTCATGACACATGTGACAAACATGGGAAAGTAAAAGGAAGCTCAAATTCATGTAATTTCCTGGGACCCATCAGATAGAACTACAGTGGCTCTAAGGCCAAGCTTACCAGCTTGTCTCTTGTTTTGAAAAAGCTGTTCCATCCTCCCAGTACCAGCCACTTCTCTCAGATATGTATGATAATCCAACCCAGTAAAAATTTGAATCCCGTGGCAGAAAAACCTGTAGGTATGGGAAAATAATCACAACAATATTTCAAAAATAAGACTGAAGTTCCTGTATCTTCCAGCTGTGAAAGTTCTGCAAGAAAATGAGAGAGCTTTCTTAATAGGATTGGAACATGTTGTCCATACTTGCTTTCCATGAGGCAGTGCTGGCTGTTCTGATTATAGGATCATTCAGATAACAGTTAATTGCCACAAGACAATGGCACTGCTTTTTCAAATAAAAAAAAAACAACCCACCAAACTCCAGTTTTAGCTGGTCTGCCTTTAGGTATCTATACTGCCTTTAGATATATGCAGCTTTGCTATAGCTGTGGGAGTACCATTTAAGTTCCAGTTAGCATGAGATCTGGCCAACAGTTCCAATGGAGCCTGAGAAACTGTTCATCCTACCCAGTGGGATTCCTACTGCACTGGTCACAACTGCCACTGAGTAACTGAGCCTTAGGAAGGAGCTCTGAAGTCGCAGACTGTTTACACTGCAGGTGCCTGAAATTAGGTGAGATGAATCCCAGCCTACAGGGCATGGCCTGTTGCCTAAATACAGGCCTCTAGCATCTTTTGGGATTCCTCAGCCTGCCTGAGGTTTTTACATATGGCTGACAGACAAACCCCAGAACTTATGGGAGAACTTTCTGAGGCGTGATGTGGAGGTCAAAGAGAAAACCACTGGGTGCCTCAGATTGCCCTAGAAACTTACTCTTAGACATCTGATTAGTTCTGCAGCAGCAGAGATTCTGGAGGATCTGAACATGTTTGAACATGGTCTGAACATGAGGTTACCCAGCACTATTGCTGCTTAGTAGCATGTTTAGGGACTCATCTAAATCTAAAATCCACAGCTGGCTCAAGATGGTCTGGCCTCAGCTTGGCTGCAGCTGCATGTATCAAGGAGAGAAGAAAAAGCAAGCACCCAGACATCTGGAATAACACTATCCAGGGATTTATACCTCATACAAAAAAAGTACCTCAAATTCAGGTTTGAACTTGTGGTGTTCAGGATTCTGACCTCGAGATGCCACTAAACTCAGTAACAAACCATTTCTATTTTTTCTCTACCCATCTGATTTTCACTTAAAAAAAAATAATCCCAAAGGGCAGCCTTTATGCCTTAAAGTAAGAATTGAGAATCCTCATTTGAAACTGACTCCACCTGGAAAAAGAAGCAAGATTCTTCAACTAAGAAGAAAAGAAGAGATCTCGAGGTGCTGGAGTGAGGACAGAGGAGGCAATGAAGCTGGTGAAGGGCCTGCAGAGTAAATCTTATGAAGAACACTTGAAGGAGCTGGGAATGTTTAGTTTGGGGAAGAGGAGGCTGAGGGGAGACCTCATCAGTCTCTACAACTACCTGAAAGGTCATTGTAGAGAGGTTGGTGGTGATCTCTTCTCACAAGTAATTAGCAACAGAACAAGAGGAAATTACTTAAGCTGCACCAGGGGAGGTTTAGACTGGACATTAGGAAAAAATTTTCACAGAAGAGTGGTCAGACACTGGAATAGGCTGCCCAGGGAGGTAGTTGAGTCACCATCCCTGGATGTGTTTAACGGTTGTTTGGATGTGGTTGGTGGAAATGGTTTAGGGGAGAGCTTTGTAGAGCAGGGACTCAGTGATCCCAAGAGGATGTTCCAACCTGAACAGTTCTATGATTCTATGATTCTATGATTCTATAATTTCCAGTGAAGCTTCTTTCCTTTGAAATGTTTTATGCAGCAAAAAGTGAATAAGGATGTTTGGGCTTTGTGTAAGATTAATAGCTGCCGAAAAAGAGATTTCCAGATATGTGTACACAAAGGAAAATATGTTCTTGACAACAAATTACAGACTTTTTATCAGTCAGTACTCCCTCCTCCCAAATTAGTGAGACTACTTAAAATTATTAATTCCCTAAATCTTATTCAGATATAAATTTCTGCCTTTGTGCCATAATTAACACCACTCAGTGAAGGTATAACACAAGGCCAGAAAATAGCCTTGGATAAACACTTTGCACTTTAGTGCTCAATGAAGGAACCATCATGAGTGGTCTGCTCTCTAGGTTTCACATAGATGGGCATTTGGTGCTGTGAGCCCCCAGTAACAGAACTTGTGGAAAGAGATAATAAAAACATGCATTCTGCTTGCTGGGTCTCTACTCCATGCTGCTAATATGCCCTTTGTTGTCTCTCTGGAAATGTAAGTATTAGTTAATTAAGGTATTCTATATAATAGTTTCTTCTATTTCTCTTAATTTCAATATTTCTCACAGAGCACAATTTAAAAAGAATTGTAAGGGTTGTCAGTCTTCTTGCAGGAAGGCTATTTGACCCAGAGAAAATGAAATACATACACTGTAAAAGACCAAACTATCCTCTGCTTGCAAGATTGCTGAACATTAAAACACTTGGCATAAAGGAATGCATGAGATTAAGACTGTACCATCTTTGCTGTGTCTTTTAGCACAAGAAGAGAGGAGTTCCGCGAGGAACAGAACTTCTGGCTCTCCTTCCATGTTTTCTTCTGCTTTGAAACGTAGAAGCAGTTGTCAGCTCCACTCTTTTGCCAGCTTGCTGGACACAGAGCACATTTTGTTTCTAGAAATTAGAAAGAGCATTATGCAGGCTTGCAAGGAATAGAGGGGCTTTAGCTAATGGCTTGACTGGGAAGAGAAGATTCAGGGTAGCCATGAATGAGCTAAGCTCTTGACAGGTAAGTGACAACTTGTTTTGCATGTTGGTGTACATATATCCACATCTCAAATAGTGCTGCAATTAGATACTACTGGATCAGATCTTTTCTCTGTGATTTTATAGTCTCTCAGCCAATGGACTCTGAAAAGGGGTCATTTGTGTTTATTTACATAATAAACCGCATTCACCATTTTTCTCCTTCCCTTCAAAACACAATGCTTCCCTCATTTCCTGCAGCTTCTTTCCTTCCTCAGGATCCTTGGAAACCTGAAAAACTGAAAGGCATGAAATTGCTTATCAAAGTTTGCTTTTTAAAATTTACCTTTAATTGCATCTTTCCTTTCTAGCACTTGGCATTCTTTTATTAGTTTGTCTACTTTATTTCCATTTCCACCATTGTGGGAACATCACCCACATTTTCTTCACCAGGAGGATTGTGCAGCACTGGAAAAGGTCACCTGGGAAGGTGGACACATCTCTGCCCTTGAAGATTTTCAGAAGTAATCTGGACAAAGCTACAGGTGATTTTATCTGATGTTGGTGATAGTCCAGCTTTGAGTGGTGAGGAGCAAAGAGTGGGTGTCAGACTGGAAACCTGAAGAAGTGCCTCTGAACTAACATTTCTGTGATGCCAGGGACCACCCAGAGCATTTGTCCTGGGCACTTGCAACTGCTTCCCTCCTGCCACAGGCAGGCTGGAGACTCTCTGTCTCTACTGCCAAATGGAATGTGGCATCAACTTTAGTTGTTAATTGGAAAGTTTCTATGGAAAACCTGCTATAATGGCTGACAAAGGCACCAGTCACAGTGCTTTCATGTGGGCATTGCCTTCCCCACAAAACTTGCAATCCAAGAAGAGGGAACTGTGCAATACTCTGTTAACAGACACAGGGTGGCACTACTGCCTAGAGAGTGTAGGTAAGAGCTGAACTTCTGGCTCTGAAAACTAAGCAGTTCAGAAATGGGTTTGGCCTGGGCATTAAGGTTAGTCAGTGCTTAGGGCTAAGGTTAGGGTTATTGTGATTAGGGTTAAGGTTAGATGTTAGGGCTGAGGTAATGGTTAGGATTATGGTTTAGGATTAAGTTTAGGTTTAGAGGTTAGGTTTATGCTTAGGGTTAGAGATTACCTTTAGTCATTAAGTTTAGAGTTTGGGTTTAGGGTTTGAGTTAGTGTTAGGGTGAGTGTTAGTGTTTAGCCTTAGGGTTTGGTTTAGGATTACAGTCCTGGGGATATGTTTAGAGTTATGGCCAGGACAGTAATTAAGGTTTTGGGTTAAGTTTAGGCTAATGCTAAAGGAGACAGGGTTTAGTGTTATGTCTAGGGCTTGTATTAGGGGTGGTGTGATCTTCAGGTTTATGGTAACTAAAAATGCAGATATAAGAATTCCCATGTGATCTCTACTGACATTTAATGGCAGGGGGACTGCTGTGTTTTAGAGTTATAGTCTAGAATTAGGATTAGTCAGTAGTTAGGGTTAAGGTTAAGATTTTTATTAGGGTTAGTGGAACCATTATGGTTAACTATACATGCGGGTATTAGTGATCCTAAATGACCTGTGCTAACACTCAGTGTTGGAGGGACTTCTGTGAGAGTTGTACTGTTGACCTTCTTGCTGCATTATTTCCACTGGGGAAACAAGGACATCAAGAACAATTTGCAGGGGAAGATGAAGCAGATGCATAGCTGGAATTCACCCCCCACAGCAGCAGCTTGGGTCACTATAGTACTTACACAGGGCCAGAAGGGCTGCCAGACCCATGAGCAGCAGCAGGCACAACATAAGGAAAGCAAAGGCCACCAGCTGCCATCTGGAAGATGAGGCAGAGACTCCTGTGACAAACAGAAAACCATTCAGCAACAGAACCGTAGAATGGTTTAGGTTGGAAGCTGCAACCCCCCTGCATGGGCATGGACACCTCCCAGCAGATCAAGGTTGCCCAGAGCCTCATACAACCTGGCCTTGCACGCTTCCAGAGAAGGGGCTTCCACAACTCCCCTGGGCAACTTGTTCCAGTGTCTCACCACCTTCACAGTGAAAAATTTCCTCCTAACATCTAATCTAAGTCTCCCCTCTACAAGTTTTAACCTCTTGTCCTCTCGCTACATGCCCCTGTAAAAAGTCCCTCCCCAGCTTTTTTGTATGCCCCCTTTAGAAACAGCAGCTCTTCTCACCACCAGGTGGTATTACCTCCTTTCTGACATCATCAATTCACCTTTTCCTGTCTGCTCCCGTGTGGGAAACCCTTTCCCCCCCCCCCCATACTGGAGTTATTGCTATCACTGTTCTGAATTTCCTACTTTCATTTTGAGAAATATCTATTTATTCACTGAGAATGTTTATTAACTGAGGCTCCAGTTTTTTAGAATAAAACTTCTCATGAAACTGTAAGCACAATAGATCTCGCAATTCCCATAGTCCTGGAAATAATAAAACAATTTTTAAGACTTCTCCACCTTGAAGGGGAAAAATTACCATTTGGTTTTGGAAAATTAATTCTGGCACTTATGATTGGGATTTCTAAATGATTGGAATGTTTCAATATTAAACTGTGCTTTTTTTCTTCAGGATCTTTCTCCAAATTTCCACTGTAGTTCAATATCGAAAAGGGAACATAGTTCCCCAGAATATATCTGACTATCCCCTGATTGAAGCATTTTCTGTTATATATATACATTTTCCCCTTTCAGGAGCAGTGCTCTGCAATTATCTGTAATACTCTTTCATACCTATTGAGAGTGTTCAGGTTATTTTAAAAGATATCATAGATACCATAGACATCAAGTATTTTACTTGAGTCCAGTACATCAAAGCAAGCACCTCCAGGGAACTAACCTTGTTAGGTGAGAAAAGTCACCCTCTAGATGTGCCCAGAAGTCCAGATAGACTTAGCAACTAAATCTTGCACAGACAAAGTTAAGGGAGATGAGCTTAACCCTCTGCAGTTAAAGTAATTTGAAGAGACCACAGATGACATCACATTGGGATGGTGACTGATAAATCAGAGGGTGGGTCTTCCTTTAAAGGGACCTAAAAATCCTAGGAATGAGCTGTAAGTGCAACAGTGCTCGGGCCCAACACGGTTTACTATCTTTAGTAGTGGTGTGGATTATGGGATCAAGTATACCCTGATGAAGCTTGCTGATGATACCAAACTGAGTGGGGAAGTGGCAAGTTTGGAAGGGAGAGCCACCCTGCAGGGACACCCAGATAGGCTGGAAGAGTGAACAAGAACCTTGTGAAGGTCAACAAGGACAAGTGTAAGGACTTGCACCTGGGAAAACAAAATCCAGGAGAGCAGCACAGGCTGGGATCCACCTGGTTGGAAAGCAGCCCTGTGGAAAGAGACCTGGGGATCAACAAGCTCAACATGAGTGAGCAGGGTGCTGCAGGGGCAAGGCAAGCAGGATGCTGGTCTGCATCAACAAGGGCATCACCAGCAGAGACAAAGAAGTCATCATCACACTCTACTCAGCACTTGTCAGGACACACCTGGAACACTGTGTTCAGTTCTGGTCGCCAGTACACAAAAAAAGATGTGGACAGGCTGGAGAGGGTCCAGAGAAGGGCCACAAGGGTGGGAACCTGGCCATATGAGGAAAAGAAGAGAGAACTGGATTTGTTCAGCCTTGAGAAAAGAAGGCTTAAGGGAGACCTCATCATCATGTTCCAATACTTGAAGGGTAGCAATAAAAAGATGGAGTGTCTCTTTTGCTAGGAGTCATGTGGAAAAGATGAGGGGTAATGGGTGCAAGTTACTCCTGAGGAGACTGGAGTTGGACACAAGAGGAGATTTTTCACAATGAGGTCAACAAAGCCAAATGTATAGCCTGGCACCTGTAACAGTACAACTCCATCCAGCAGAATAGATACAGGACTAACTGGTTAGAAAGCAGCTCGTGGATGCAGCTCAGCATCCTCGTGGACAAGTTGAATATGAGTCCTCAAGTATGCCCTGTGGCAGTGAAAGCTGACCAACACTGGCCTTCATTGGCAAGATTGGAGCCAGCAGGATGAGAGAAGTGATTATTCCACTCTAAGTGACATCCATGATGCCAATTCTGGGGTACTGTGTCCAGTGTTGAGCTTCCCAGTTCACAAGACATGTCAGCTCATTGCAGAGAGTCCAGCACAGGAACACTGAGTTGGTTAGAATCATAGAATCATAGAATCTTAGGGGCTGGAAGGGACCTCGAGAGATCATCTAGTCCAACCCCCCTGCCAGAGCAGGGTCACCTAGAGTACATCACACAGGAACTCATCCAGGTGGGTTTTGAATGTCTCCAGTGAGGGAGACTCCACAACCTCCCTGGGCAGTCTGTTCCAGTGCTCTGTCACTCTCACAGTAAAAAAATTTTTTCGGATATTCACCTTGAACCTCCTATGCTCCAATTTACACCCATTACCCCTTGTCCTATCACTGGTCATCACCGAGAAAAGCCTAACTCCGTCCCCCTGACACTCACCCCTTACATATTTGTAAACATTGATGAGGTCACCCCTCAGTCTCCTTTTCTCCAAGCTAAAGAGACCCAGCTCCCTCAGCCTTTCCTCATAAGGGAGATGTTCCACTCCCCTAATCATCTTCGTAGCTCTGCGCTGGACTCTTTCGAGCAGTTCCCTGTCCTTTTTGAACTGAGGGGCCCAGAACTGGACACAATACTCCAGATGTGGCCTCACCAATGCAGAATAGAGGGGGAGGAGAACCTCTCTTGACCTACTAACCACACCCTTTCTAATGCACCCCAGGATGCCATTGGCCTTCTTGGCCACAAGGGCACATTGCTGGCTCATGGTCATCCTCCTGTCTACCAGGACCCCCAGGTCTCTTTCACCTACACTACTCTCCAGCAGTTCAGCCCCCAACCTGTACTGGGACATGGTGTTGTTCTTCCCCAAATGTAAAACTCTGCACTTCCCCTTGTTGAATTTCATCATGTTTCTCCCCGCCCAACTCTCCAACCTATCTAAGTCTCTCTGAATGGCTACCGACCCCTGTGGGACTCCACTAGTCACACACCTCCAACCAGATTCTGCCCCATTGACTACAACTCTCTGATTCCTTCCTTTCAACCAGTTCCTAATCCACCTCACTTCCTGATCACCAAACCCATACCTGATCAACTTTTCTAGGGTCCTTTTTTAGGGTCATTTAGAGTGGCTGAAGAACCTAAGAGTGTTTAAGCCTTGAGAAGAAGTGGCTAAGAGAGAACTGAATTTCAGTCCTTTGCTACCTAGAAGGGTTTTATAGATGGAGCTAAATTATTTTCAGAGAGACACAACAAAAGGACTCAATACAACAGCCACGAGTTGCATCAGGGAGACTTTAGGAAAAAAATTCTTCCCATTCAGCACTAGAAAAAGTGAGATCTCCATCCCTGGAGGTTTCCAAAGCTCAAGTGGAAAAGGCCCTGAGAAACTTGATCAGACTTTAGACTTGCCCTTTTGAGCAAAATACTGGAAGAGAGGAACTATAAAGGTCCCAGCCAACCTGATTTGGTCAAAAGTCTATCTACTTTAAATGTTCTTTGTGCCTATCAAAAGGCCATTTCAAGAATTTTCTGAGGTTGCCAACCTGTTTCTTTCCAGAAAGCTCTGCCCCTACATCACGCTCTCTAATATTTTATCCTCGGTTTTCTGGCTGCTGCTTTTCAACAGCTTCTCCTTCATCCTCCTTGTCAAGCTGTCATTCTCATTGGATAGCTCTGTGTCTTTTCCAGACAGCATCAGAGTGATGTTAATTTAGTGTTTGTCTACTCTGCCCAAGCTGCAAATAGCAGCAATGGCATTTATTTCACACCTAAGCCACCTGGTGAATTTTTGAGCTGAAGCAAGTAATCATTTTATGGTCTCAGGCATTCTACAAGCACAATCTAGTTAACATGTTACAGAAAAACTTTAAGTATAAACAAATTAAAGTATATACCCCTGTCAGAGCTTACATTCAGTATTATGACTGATAAACAGGGCACTTTTCTGCTCCCCATAGCTGAAGAACTTCAATATCCAAAGCTTTAATTATCTTATATAGTGCCTTCCTCTCTTGTAGTGTCTTACTGTAATAGATGAGTCCTACCAAAATTTAAAAAACAAAAAAAAATATTAAAAATTGCCTTCTGTGTTGAAATAAATAGAAAAAACAATTGGAGTAAAGATAGGCCTGTGTTGAAATAAATAGAAAAAACAATTGGAAATTCAACAATTGGAATTCAGAAAAAAATATAGGCTGTGTTTATAAACTATAGCACAGAAGACTGTATTATGATTATTGTCTCTCCTGTTTCTATGAGCATTTATCTAATAATATACTATGAAGTTTAGAAGGATTCTAAAGCAATCAACATGACCATGCAAGTTCAAGTTATTCCCTGTTTTAGATAGAAAGGCTGATTTCCATCTGTACTTACGGTCTGCTGGAACATTTGAGGCTGAAGCCTTAAATGTAGAACATTTGTTGCTGCTCAAATGTCCAGAGTTAACAACCGAAGCTGAGGGTCGTAAATTTAAAGCAGTGTAACCTTCCTCATCCTCCATTTCCAGCTTGTCACACTTTTTCCCTGCAAGAGCAGTACTTTGGGAGTCAGGGTGCACTGCTGAGGTGATGGGAATGGTTCACATTTCAGCACTTCCAGTGAGACCACAAAGGAAGCTGGCTCTGGTCTGATTACTGTGTCATAGCAAAAGTGTAGAGTATTGAAAGCACATTAAGGAGTTAAAGTGGCACTGTCAAGGATGTGTGTTTTGTTTCCTGAATGTGAATATTTGGAGTCTTGGTTCCTTGCTCAAACCTAACACTATTTCATTTAACTACCCACCTGATCCCACTCTGTAAATATGGCAAACATCAGAATTTTCTGCCTCTTTAAAACAAGATGCTCTAGAAATAATTGCTCTTTTGAGTTAAAGTAGGAAAGATTCATGTGTCAGGGCACAAATACAACAGAACAACAGCATGGGAAGCAATGAGCTGTGCTTCCATACATTGTCATTAAATAAATGAAAAGTGAAATAATTTTACAAAAATTCACTAAAATAAGTACAAGGAGGGGAAAAGCTGAGCTGAACAGATGGTGGGGGCAGGAGTTTGGCAGGTTTCAGGCGACCACTCAGCCTGTGTCAGAGAAAGACCAGACTACACTGAGGACTTCTGCTATTGCACTGTGCAGAGAAGTCACTGTGCAGAAATGGCTTATCCATCCTCACCCTCCAGCTCTGGCTCATTACAGTGCCTTTCTCCAGTGCTGAGCTGTAGTTCTTAAATGCCTTCTGTGACCAGCCCTTAATGTTTAACAGATCACTTGCCCAGGCATGATGAGTCATGTGGTCACGACTGTGTGAGTCAGGAGGAAATTGCAAGAGGAAATTGTGTGGTAGCTATTCCCGCTCTTGTGGGTAAAGTTGAGAGTCCCCCATTTGCAAAATAACATCAACAGACTGGAAACACACGAGTCTTCCTGCCTTAGATTTTTTCAGAGCAGAAATATCTCTTTCTGCATTTATTTCTTGAATTATATTTTACCTGTATGAAAAGACAAGGTGTGAGGGAAAAGCTGGGAGTAAAGGGTGCCCACAGTCAATTTTTGTAACACAGAGAGGAACACAAGGAGTAGCATTGAGTGTGTATTCATGATGTATCCATAATATTCTCATAAAAACCTAAATATGGTGCAAAAATCTCTGTCTATTGGGCCTGAATACTTCATGTTGACACATTACCACAAAAAAGGGCTTTCCTGAAGAGAACAGTGTTAAGTGTGTCTATGTTACAGAGTTTTGTTGCATGTTTTCATGAGAGTGGCACTGCAGGACATTGTACTCCTCTCTGCCTCCTCTCTTTCTTATCTGGGGTGACTTCCCTCCCTCCCTCCACCAGTGTTACCACAATAAGTTATCTGGAATGCAATTCACAAAGAATTCACAAGCCTCCAGAGGGTACCAAGATAGGAATTTTTGGACTTTTTTTTCTCAAATAAAAATACTGTTATGGGACTGGGATATTTTATTTCAACCTGACTGTCATTGGTCTATGGAGATGTGGAGGAGACATTTTGTACAATGCTTGGGCTATTTTCATTATGGTTGGGTTTGTAGATCCTTGCTCAGCACAGGAAATTAGTAGTATGGCAGTCACAGAAATACCCTAAAAATCCATGAAAGGAGGTTCTCTTCATGCCTCTGACTGAATGCTGGTGTCACTCTTGCATTAGATCAAAAGAGCAGAAAATTAGATAAGTAGAAATGAATAGCTAGGAAAAAAAAAAAGAGAGAAAAAGAAAAAGAGAAAAAGAAAAAGGAGAACTAACAGTGTCAGGAAGAACTGTAGAGCATGAAAGAAAGCTAGACATTTGTAGCTGAAGCATATCTTATCCTGTGGCACATGCACAAGTCCTTATAAGGACTATGAATCCCTCTTCTCCAGAGCAAGTATCATTATTGATACAGTTCAGGAACACTCTGGCCCACGTTCTGCGGATAACTGGGTTTGTGTATTGTATACTCCAGCCTATTAGTGTATTAAAGCAGTGTCCTGGTTTGAGCCAGGATGAAGGAAATTTGCCTTATACTGATTATTTTAAAATTTATTTATTTCCCTTTAGAGAACTCTCTTTTAACTAGCAGCAAGTTTTCCAGCTAGTGGACTGATAACACTGGAGAGTTTATGTTACTGCTGAGACTTCAAGGTCACTCTGCTCAATTTGTTGAATCTGCAGCCCAAAATGCTAAGGGAGCAGAAGAGTTGTATCAGCAACCCTCCCATTGGACAGTGAAATTAACCGAAGTATTTCATTCCATGTATCTACATAAGCTCAGTATAAGGATCATGGAAGCTAAGCCTCCTCCTGCTTCTTCTTCCCTTCTCTTCCATCTGTGGTCAGGGTCCAGGGAGGACTCCATCTCTCCATCACCACTGATTCCCAGGCCTGTGCATTCCTGACCCTCATCACTCTCCCTCAGCTCCTGTCTGCTCTGCCCTCTCTCCAGCAGCTCTGGGACACTTGGGAACTGCTCACAGCTCAGGAGATGCCCTGGGAGTTGCTGGGGGTGGGGGGAGGCAATAGGGCTTTGCACATTCCTGAACACATTTGTATATAATTGTACATATTTTATTTATTCATTAGTATTTAATTAAAGCTGTTTCGTTTAGTTTTAAATCCAGGAAGTCTCTCTCCTTCTCTGTCTCCTTTTCCTACCTGGGTGGGAGGGGGAGGAGATGAAGAGCATAATTGTCGCTGGTTTTAATTGCTGCTCCTGAGTCAAACTGTGACAAGCAGTCAGATCAAGAAGACATCAGGAATATCTCTGGAGTGAAACTGTTTAATCTTCATAACTCTTCTTTGTTACAACTGTGCAGTTACTAATCAACAAGTAGTATGTACTAGGACTGTATCAGTGGATGCTGGGAGAGGAGCAGTATCCATACATGTTTGCCTTGACACTGTGCTTTTTTTTATTATTATTTTTTCCTGGCTATTACTTTTGGCCATTTTGTCCATCACCTGTGTTGGCTAAAACTGAATAATCATTTGGCAGTTCTGGATCTGGGATGACAGTGGTGGGTTGCTCTTTCAGCCAATCACCGTGCGGGTTTCCTTAGCATGAAGATATTTTTTATGTGTGTCTAAAAGAGAATGAAAACAGGGTAATGTAATAGGTCAACATATTTAAACACTAATGTGACAGTTCTGAAAAAAATAAAAAAATAAAAAAATAAATTCTAACCTTGCAGGATGTCTCCTAGCTTATCAAAATAATTTTGGTCTGACAAACCAGTCCTCCTGCCAATGGTCGTTACCTCTCTGTAATTGGATGGCAGGCTTTTCACAGATATAGTTCATCCATCTCTTACATGATGTGAAATATATAGTAGCTTCATAAGAATATCCACATTCTTCCAGGAAGTTTATATTCTTTGTCCTAAGAAAGAAAAATCTTGACTGGTACATCTCACCTCATTCAGATGGTATATCCTTGCCCCTTACAAAAAGAGCCGTCTTTGCAAGAATTAATTATCTGACTTTCACAAATAATACATACCCCCAGCAAAGAAAGAAAGCATTTAGTGACATCATGTGCCAATTTCTAGAAGGCTGACCCTGTCCTGAACATGCCAGCAAGCACCCTCAGCAGATTCTAGGTGTGGATCCAGAACCATTTCTTGTACCTGACAGTTAAAGATGCTAACACTTGGGTACTGACTGGAGGGTTTTAGTAGCTGTTTCAACAGAAATGTTAAGAGGAGAGAGCCCAATAACTAAAAGGAATATTGGCACACCAGGTTTGAACTCAAGAAGAAAAATACATTGTATTTCTAAAATAACATGTTAAACTTCAGGGAAATTATTCTAGAGAGTAAGTAGTTTCTTACATAAAAATAAAAAAGTATTAAGATCTGCTTTTGCATGCAATGAAACACCTTTCAATCAGAGTTTTTTTTTCATATGTCCTCACTGAAACAAGATACAAAATACAAGAGAAATATATTACACTTCTGGTAAATCTGAAAATAAATTGTGGAAATAAACTTTCAGGGTAATTTTTTATTTTTTTTTTACCCAGCCATAGTGCCTATAGCACCCTCAAAGCAGTCCTGGGTAAGGCCAAGAAAAATCTGATATGGAAAAGTGAGACCTGTAACACAGAGCAAAGTGCATAAAATTTGACTGTTTAATGTACCTTTTGTGTCAGAGAAAATGGGAGCTGCGTATGGATGAGGATCAACAGTATGTCCTGAAAGAAATCTGCCCACTTACTGTAACTTTTGTGCTTCTGTAAGACTTGTGTTGTCTGCCCAATACCAGTCTCTCTGATCAGGTCTAAAGGTTAATCCAAGCCAGTATGATTTTTCAGGAAATTTTTTTACCAGTTCCTATGCACAATTCAAAAGAGATATTCAGGAAGATAGTAAAAAGAAATATAATTATTTAATCTTGGAAGTTGAATGCATTGATGGAAATTGATTAAAAAACATAAAAACCACAAATCCTTAACCTATCAGGACAAGTTCTGCCCTTAGAGGAGAAGCCTAGTATGAAGGGAGAAATTGTAATAGAGATGTTTTTAAAGGCAGAGAAGATATATTTATAGCTCTGAAGAACAATATCACCCCCATCAACCTGATTTAAACCCTCTGGGTAAAACACTGGATCTTTCTCCCCCTTTTAGTCATGAATCATTCCTCTGCTATTATTGTCCTTAGCATTTGTCAACTGTGAAAAAGAAGTCTCTACAGGCAACTGTTTGGTTTGCTCTGTTGAACCTTCACAGGATCTAGCATTGTTTAGTTATTCCCAAAAGCTGGGCTATGAGCAAGTAAAGAAGGTCTTAAAGTTAAGCATTTAACGACATTCTGTTTTTTAAAAAATGTTCTGAGCAGAATAGGTAAGAACAAATAATGTTGCCTGTCTCACTGCTGCTTCAGGAAATCCTCTGAAGATTTGAATTAGATTTTTTCTGTTGTTCTCCTTCCCTTACTTATCATTGCCACTCCCAGTGCACTTCTGTATTTTCTGTTCCTCATATCTCTCAATGCTGTGATTGCCACAGCTAGAACAGAATGCAGACCTCACAGTCTTTGCTGGCACCGGTTTGGAATGGTGGGAATAAAGCTGCTCCCATTTCCTACTGGGAGAAACATTATGGCCTGCCTCTCAGTGAGAGGGGAACTAGCATTCATCAAGTGCTGTGGAGCAGGCAGGAGCAGCCCTGACTGCTAGCTCTTGAGACATCTTTACTGTCTTCAGTCTTCAAATATGTCTGCTGGCATCCAGAGGTAAAAGCATTATCTATACCTGGCATTTTGTCTTCCCACCTCAGATTTTTTTTCACTTAATAAAAGATCAGGTCAAGTTTTAGCAACTCGCTGCCAAGTGTTTTGGTTTTGATTTCAAAGATGAGATCAACATTTGTGGAAAGACATTCCACAAAATGGGGAGGACTATGGCTTGCCTATTGGGAGACCGGGTTGAAAGAAGTTTTCACACCAGTGTCTTACCAAGTCCTTATATGGATATGAAATACTTGTTAAATTAGTTAAATCAATGGGTGTGACAAAACAGTCATGAAGCTGTTTTCACCAGTCATCCCAGTAAGTAGCCAGCCATGGCAAGCAGAAGCAAGATGGGCTGTCTCCAACCACCAGCTGCTTGAAGGCTGACACACTGTGTGGCAGTGACCAGTCCTCTGCCTTTGCCATGCCCAGGACAACCTGATCCCTGCAGAAAAACTGCTGCTCAGAGTGTCACGTGTGAATGGAGTAGCTGATAGGGTGCGTGAATGTCCTCCATGTGAAACGGCATGAGAAACCAGTCCATACCTGTTTTGCTGCCTCTTTTAGCAGAAGAAGAGTAGAGTTTTGTTCCTGACAAAATTTGTGACTCTTCTGCCATGAGTTCTGTTCCTTGGCATGGTAGTAACATGTACCACCACCATACCACTTCCAGTTGACAGGGCAGAGGACACAGGTCTGGCCTGGAAAAGAAGAACCCTCACTGTACCTTACAGAACATCACTATTGGCCTGCGATGACAAGATGCATGGGACTGAGGGTGTTTGAGACATCCTCAATTGGTCAAAATCTCACTGTGGTCTGAGATCATTCAGGAAATTAAGGAGATGAAAACTGACTCATACCCCTGTCTCACATTCTTTTCACACTGGAAGGGCATTCAGGTGTTGCAAATGGGATTTATTTTGCCTAATTTTATCAGTCTGCAAAGGTGATACAAGTGAACCCATCTGGATTCACACTTCAGTCAATGGACAGGTGTGTCTCACTCATGCTTTTTCTGTCATTTCAGGTGTGTATCTTGGGAGGAAACAGACTGTATCCTTGCATGTTAATTTCTCTTAATTAACTAAAAGGGAGACCTAAATAGTTAGCTTGTCTATAGAACAGTATCTGGACATATGAAATCCCATTTCCCAACAGTTACAACAATGCCTCTACTCCTCAGACTATAGTTTCTGAAAATAACTAATTATCTGTCCGGCTTATTGTCCAATGTCATTGAAATAACCAAGCTGCAGCCAACTGGTTTCAGAAACAGCCCTGCATTGGACACAGTCAAGAGACAGTGGGGATGAACCTGGAATAAACTCTTAGGCTGGGAGATTCCTGTCTTGCCTGGTGTCAGTGCTAGCACACCATCCTGTGTGTGGACTGCTGTTCACATAAAGTGAAGCAAGATGTTTACTTCTCAGGCACCACTCTTAGGTTGTCTACTAGATGCAGATGAGCATCTCATAGAGATCCATGAACTAGTGCTGATGGGAAATGGTATGTACAGAAGGCATCTCACAGATCCCTTTTATTATGGAAATTAAATCCTGACACCCTGGTACCACTGCCAGACCCAAACCAGTGCAACTATGGCCAGGCTGGGTGCCTCCTCTCCAGGTGCTGCATGAAGCAGACATGCTCATTGTCTACTTTCTAGGTGGTCACACCTGAGAAGGCACAGGCTCATCAAAGGAGTCCGACCTGAGTAGACACAGAAGGCACATCTCATTTCCTTCTTTGCCATGTTTAATGATAAGCTTTCATCAAAAGTTGTCAATTTACCATTATTTTTAAGGCTTTTTTCCCCTTCCAAGCAGAGATGATTTCCTATGGCTTGCAGCATATTTGAGAAATTTGCATGCAGCTCATTCCTTGTCATGTTGAGGTCTCTGAGCTGTATCATGTAGTCCTTGGGAATCTGGAAAACTGAAATTGACAATAAGGCATTTTGCCATTTTCCAGTGCTGTCCTTTAGAAAGGGTGGGGTGCAGCTAAGGAATGACTTAGCATATCATTAAGGGCTAATAAACCATTTGAGATAAATATTATTCCTCCCTGAACAATTGCATGTACAGGCTGCTGAGATGGAGAATATCTGCACAGCAAACTTATTATTTGGCTGTGAGTGAACAACAAAATGAAAGTGTCACTTTTAATCATGTGCTTCCATTGTGTATCTTTCTCTTATATGGTTTTCCAAGCTTTTCCTTTTTCCTAAAAATGTGAATTGCAGCTCTGGCTCATGGTGGAATTGCTACTGATGGGACTTAATGGGCACAACCTGTTTACCTGAACACAAATTTTTTCCCTTCCCTCTGATCCAGCATTATCAAAGGAGAATTCACTCCATCATTAGGCAGGACAGGGGGATTGTGGATAAAGGGCTTAAGAGACCAGACAATGGCATCCAGAGCAGTCAGTGAATCTCCTACTCCACCCCTTCCCAGCTGCCCTCCGTGTTGCTAATTTCTAGCCTTATCACATCTAGAGGAGGACAGTGATGCTGTGGTAAGGGAAAATACCTGGTTTGCCTGGTTGCCTGTTCTCAGCTGAACCAGAAATTGCACCTGAAGGGGATGTCAGTCTTGTGCTACTCAGTAGCTTGAAAACAGAAATGCATTAGTACTTACGGAAAACTGCCAGGATCACCAGGGCCATCAGCAATGCCAGGCACATAATGGACAAAATCAGGACTACTGGCTGGCAAGAGCAGGGTGAAGTGGGAGGCCCTGGGAGGAATTCAGTCATGAAATGCATTGTGATACAAAGGGAATAGTGAACACGTTATATCACAGCCCTCTTTGTGGTGTATCGGTGAATAAATAATTGCTTTTACTTTATGGTTGTATATTGCTGTTGTAGGGTCTCTGCACACAGCAAAAGATGCCAAAACAAAGTAAGAGAGTGAGGCATCTTTGTGAAGAATGTGAGCAGCCTTGGTCCTTTCAAAGGCCATAAACTGTGGCAAGAAAGATATGAAGAAAGCAAGATATAGCAAGACCTAAACAGTTGATAGACCTAAACAGTTTGTTTGAAAACAAACACACACTGTTAGTGGTAATTTGAGATGCATGGCATATATCTGTGGTAACCTGGTTAATTAGAGTGCTATATTTAAGTCTGGTACTTTATGGTAGTTTGAAATTTCTAGCTAGGAATTCACAGAGGATTTTTCTGTGATAAGCATTGCAGCTCAGGTACAGAAATAAGCCCTCAAAGAGGGGGAAGGAGAAATTGTTAGTCTAAAAAAAGGAAAGGGTTTTTTTAAATCAGGAAGTGAATTGCTGAAGAAAAACTGAAATGTGGAAACTGCAGTGGACCTCTTCTACAAATAACTTGTAGCCAGCTTCTGTGCTGAAGCAATCCTGGGCAGAACCTTGTGCAAGACCTCACTCTATAGAAACGGAAGGTGATGAATATTCAGTAGAAAGAAGATCAAGCAACAGATGTTGTCTGGAACTGGGACACAGATCACTACTGGTTTAACTGGTGGAGCTCCATGGGGTTTCTGTTCACCCAGTCCCCAAGGTACTCAAGGTTCCTCTGTTTTCAAGCTCTACCACTTGGTAGCATCAGCCACTAACCCTAGTTTAGTATTGCTATAAATTTGCTGAATACACACTCTCTGTGATTTTTCAGGTTGTTGATGAAGATATTAAACAATATGCACTCAGTACCAACCCCTGAAGGACCCCTGAGGGACTCCTGAGAGATTCTGCCATTACTTACTTCCCTTTGAGCGTGGTAGTTCAGTTTTCAATGCACCTAACAGTCCACCATCCAGCCCACTAACTTTCTCAGCTTTAAAATGACAATAATGTAAGAGACACTGAAAGAAGTCTTGCTAAATATATATTACACGTGGCACTCTTCTTGCACCTACATTTCATCACAGAATGCAACCCCAGTTCACGGAAGTGCTCTAACTGCTAGGTATTTGGGGAAAAGTCAAATACCCAGACCCTACATGAAGAGAAAGACCTTGTCCCTTGAATTATTTTCCAAAGTCTGATCTCATAGATATGCAACAGGTACACTCTTAGATAAAACCTGCACAGGAGAATCATATACCTTATAGATTCTAATAAGACTTAAGGATGCATACACATGGATAGTTTTTAATGTCAAAGTACTTCTGTACATGCTCTGAAGCTGTGCATTAGGTGCCTGGAGAACTTCAGTAACATAACTTAGACTCCCTAAGGCAGGCTGCTAAATAGACTCTCATGAATTGGAGCTAAAGAGCAAAAAAATAATTGTTCCTACCCCTACGAAGTCACAGTCCCAAGCTGAAGACCAAAAGCACTATAGTCCACACCTCCCAGAGCTTTTAGATGAGAAGAGACAAAGATTTTGTAGTTTGAAAGTGAGATTTTATAAGCAGATAAAAACTATTCCCTGGGCACCAACATGAATCAAGACAAAGCAGTAGTTTTAACTTCAGCTGTTTTAATTCAAGTATTGGCCAAAGCATTTACTTAAGTAAAGTTTCCCTTCACTGTGCTTTGTAACCTCTCACTACTTCTGCTACATGTAGGGCAGCTGAAGGGACCTCAGGCTTGGTCCTCCTTCCTGTCTAGTACTCCCATAGTCCTAGAATGAACATATTAATTTTCAATCTGATGTCTGTGAAATAGTGTGCAAACTGTGCTGTGCCCTCTCAGACTCATGGTTTCTTATCACAAAATATGCTTTGTCTACCCTGGGACGTAAAAGCAGGACATCTGGAGTCATATTAGGATACTGGTGTCATTGGATGTTGAAGGAAAAGAAGCCCAGAACTTAAGACAAAGACAGATCAGATTTTTATTAATTTTGCTGTTGTTGTTGTTTGTGGTGTTGTGTTTTTAGTTAGCTAGTTAGTTTGTTTTTTAGCTCCTGAATTTTGGCAATGTTCAAAACCATAACTTAACATAACCATGTTTAATAAACATAAGTTCAAAAAGCATAACAACATTTGAAAACACAGAATTCTCCTGATAATTCCTTCTATTTAGAAGTTGTCCTCATGTTTGTAAGCACCACAACAGCTAGTACTTTCTATGTTCTTTATTCCAATGAGTTGCACCTCTCAAATCTAGAGCTTATCTCTACAGGCACTTCTAAGCAATTAACATAAATTAAGTAAATTTAATTAAAAATGAGTACATAAAATACAGTATTTAAAATGCATTCTGTTCTTTAACAGATACAATAACTTCAGAGACCTATGCCTTAATTCAGACTAGAACTTTAGAAGTGAGATAGAAGGAGTCAGTTAAAACTAATTCAGTTGTAAGCTTCAATGTAAGTGCATGGGAAAAGTAAATGGAGCCAATTCACTTTAAAAATCAGTTCAAGTTAATACTTTTGAGGTTCAGACAATTCGTAGCTTATAATATGCTTTTCTGTGAAATAACATCACTATTTTAGTTATATCTTCCAAACTCTAAAAAGTTCAGGCAGAAATGACAGCAACAAAAACCAGGACACATTTATAACTTTTCTGAGAGTAACAAAGCTAAGAAAGGCTCCGGAGCATATAACTGAAAGTATTTCCTGTCCCATCTACTTCAGCAATAAGAAATCAAAACAACTTCATAGATACTGCACCTTTTTCCTTAGTATCTTCAGGCTCTGTGATATTATGCAGTGCATGGCTGTTTCCAAATTTCAGATTAGCATATGTTATTTCTTCTGTCATAGCTGGTAAAAAGCATCAGAACAAAAAGGTAGAAAAAAATCTAGCATTTGCAGCTAGGAAGCTAGGAAGAAAATCTACTTCTTTCTGGGGTTTCTTTCAATATTGTCAGGCTGAAATGAAGCAGCACAGACAAGATACGTCTGAGCTTCCTCAATCACATTACTTCCAAAAAGGCAGATTTACCAGACTCTTGTGAGTCTATTGGTCCCTGCATTCCCCTGGAGAAAAGCCCATCTTTGTTATTGTAGTAGGGCACTGCTTTGCTGGACTATTGCTATTATCCAAAGAATTGTCCAGGGGAAATTTTTCAACATGTTTAAGTGTCTTAAGTGGAATAGCTGAGACCATGAGACAGGATCTTCTAGAGCAAGAGCAAAATGTTCAGTGGATGATGAAGTGCCAGTGATTCTACCTGGACTAGACAGGCACACTGGCACACTCCTTAATGGAAACAGGATCAGGAGATTATATTATTCAAGGAATTTTTCTCCACTCTTAATGTTATTTTTTTTTAACACTACCACAGTTGTGTAACTTCAAAAGTGCATGATGAAAGCAGGATGTCTGGAGCTTCTGGTAAAATTTGTGCAACTTAGTAAAAATGATTAATGGAACAGAAAGAGAGAAGACCCCAGAGAGTCCTCATAACAGCTTTCCAGTATCTGAAGGGGACCTACAGGAGAGCTGGGTAGGGACTTTTTACAGGGGCTTGTAGCAAGAGAACCAGGGGTAGTGGATTAAAATTTGGAGAGTAGAGATTTAGGTCAGACATTAGGAGGAAATTCTTCACTATGAGGGTGGTGAGACACTGGAACAGGCTGCCCAGGGAAGTTGTGGAAGCCGTATCACTGGAAGTGTTCAAGGGCAGGTTGGATGGGGATCTGAGCAACTTGCTCTAGTGGGAGGTGTCCCTGCCCATGCAGGGTGGGGGTGGAACCAGGTAATTTTTAAGATCCCTTCCAACCTAAACCATTCTATGATTCTCTGATGTTCTGATTCTATTATTATCACCTAAGTGATTAATGTTAATGGGCTAGAGGCTTATGTACCCTGTGTTAGAAGCATAAAGTATTATAAAAATGAGCAGGAATATAGACTAATCCTCCTTTGTGCTTCTGGGCTTGCATAACTGAGACCTAGGCATTCATACCTGTTAAGATCTCATACCAGTTACATAGAAAACGTGTCTAGAGTGGAGGTAGTGAAATTTAAGTGCTGGTACCTAAAGCAGTAGTGACAACACACCCTCAGAAAACCCTGCATAATTTTTTTGATCACCAGGTTTTAAGAATGGTTTGATCTGTTTGGAACAGGTGAAGATAAAGGCTGTAAAAAAACAGTTGGATATTGTTTCTGTCATACTTCAAAAGACTAAATGATCTTGGATTGTTTATCCTTGCCAGTTAAAGACAACTAAGATTATTGCAGGAGAGTGCTGAAGAACAGCTGCCTAGAAGTAAAGGATTTATAAGCTAGTTTATGAATATTTCAAAGATGTAAGTTAGAATGAAAATCTCTTACACAGGTTAAGTGAGATTCTGTAATAGCTTTCAGATAGGAGTGTCCACTATAATTCAACCCTCCATGTAAGCTGATTTTTACACTTCCAACACTGTTTGGAAAAACAGACCTTTATCAAAATATAGGCTGATAGCCATACATAAGGCTCATTAAAGTTCATTCAGTCCAAACTTCACAAAGTGACTACATTTACTCTTTCTTACAAAAAGTTTTTATATATACATTTTATTTTTTTTTTTTCTCTTCACTCTTTCTCTAGAGGGTTGATTGTTGCAGTTCCATTTGGAACAGACGGTTTCACATTTTCTTTCAAATAAAGCTGAATTTGCAAATCTATTTTCTTGCATCAGATGCACTTGTCCTCTTCTTTTACACTGGGCACACATAGACAGCAGGATGATGACAGAGTTTTCCAACTAACACCAGTCCCACTCAGTTTCTGGGAGCAGTTGCATTCAGTGTTTTGCATGTACACTGCAGTCACAAGGGAGAACTCCATGAGGTTGTGACAAGCCCACTTATGACACCATAGCTACCTTGTGTAGAGCACCTCAGATGTCCCTGCATTGTCCCAAAATGCCCAGCAGAGCTGCATGTGAAGAATCTAGACAGTAGATATAGCCACAAATTATAAAATAAAAACATCAAAGAATGTCCATTTGCCATGCAGAACATGGCATAGATTGAAAGAGGATCTGAGACATTCTTGGCTAATAGTGATCTAAGTCATTTCTGTTTACTTTGCATCAGAGAAATAGCAGGAAGCTCAGTGGAAATATGAGGAGCCTTCAGCAGTGAAACCTTGGGTTTTCTAGAAAAAATGAATAATATGTAATTACTTCTTTCTCTTCTATGTCTTCACTTTACATTTGCATAACACTTGAGGATTAAGAGTACTTTCTAAGTCATTACTTCACCTGAGATGAAGTACAAACAATCCACCCCACGCTACAACACCTCTTTTACTGTTTAGTTTCTTAAAAGCAAGCAGATGTGGAGCCAGAGCCCCAGCTTCCATTTCACTTACGCAAATACCCTCATCAATAGTTTCAGACTATTTTGATAGTCTGTGACCTCAGGAAATTCTACTGTAATCTGATAAATGCTTACCCATGACACATTTATCAAACCCACTCTGACAAAACATACTGTTTTAAAAAAACTACGTATCTCTGAGTACTTCAAATGTCTCAGTTTGGAAATTTCTGATTAATTTGCCTATACAGCCTTCCACTGTTCCAAGGCATATTGAGATCTGCAAGCTCTAGGTTTGCAAGTGATGTTATTTCTCAGAATTTTCACTGACAACAGACAGCTTGTAGTGTGGTTGTAGCATATGCTGTGTAATTTCATGTTGAATTGATGGAACATTTTTCTGATATTGCTCATTTTCTGTAATAACAAAGATAAGGTAATATTAAGCATTGTAACACTGTTATAATGAGAACAGAAAACAGCACAGTGTTCAGTCCTTGCAAGATCTTTGTTACAGATAGACTGATAGTAAACTAACTAATATGCTGTTAGCATCATCTTCCTAGAACAGATTTTAGCCCTGCCAACGAAAAATGAAGTATTACAAACTCATATGGCATGAAACAATTGAAATGCCATCCATTTTTCTTGATCTAGAAAGTGTAACATATTTAGGCATCCTTGAAAAACACCTGCTGTGTCTAAACGATGAAAATAGGGAACAAACATAGCAAGGCAGGCAGAATAAATAATCTAAAAGACTACCAAAGGCAATAAAAATTAATAATTTATCTTTCATCAAAACCAAACAAGAATAGGAAGCCTGTTAGAGAATCCAAATGGACACATAAGAAGAAGGATAGAAGATAAGGTTAAGAAGAATACAGCAGCAGTAAAAAATTTACTCTCTATTGTTTTCATTAATCTGATAAGTATTAAATATTACTGTATTTAAATGAACCGTTTGATATTAAAAATTTATCTCTAAAAAAACCCAAAACCAACAATGCAATTCTGATGCAGTAATTATATTGTTGTCATTCTGAATTAGCTCAAGATCTTGAACCAATGATGTAACAATTTAACGTAAACTTTGGTTATTACAGGCCTTTGTCTTAAGGAACCAAGAGCACATATGTCACTTGAACACAAGAGATGAAAATGCATGTCAGGGAGCCCTGTAAAGGGTAAAAATAATTTTTCCTTTAGTAGAAAAAGTTGTTCTTATCTTCATTATTTTCCTTGTTCCCTTACTTATACTGTTCTACGTTAGGCAGGCTGATGCAAAGGACTTTAAAAAAGGCAAACAGTAGTTGAATTGAAATAGAGAAACAGATTTGAGAGCTTCCTTTCTGAAGTGCCAGGATGTCAATTTTGGATTCTATTACCAAGGAAATTAATAATAATCAGTTCCCTTCAGATTCTAAATAACTTCTCACTCCCTATGGTTAAAGGAGTTCGTTTCATGTCTATTTGTGGTTGTTTTTTGTTTTGATGTTGAGAACATCAGTCCCTACACTAGCCCACTCGACCATCTCCCATTTCATGTGAGCCTCTTGTTTTCACCCTTTTGGAAACATCCAGACCTTGTAAGTCAAGGGTTTATTTTGCAGTCACAGGAAAGCCAGGCTTGAGACCTTAGAACATTGCTCATTTTCCTGTTCTGGGATGATTCTTGCCAATAGAGATATGCTCCATTTCACGGGGTGTGCTCAGGGTGAAGTTGCAGTTGGTCCATGTGCCAGAGAAGACTCCCACTGCTGATTCTATAGCATCAGCCAGAAGTGAGTCAGAACAGATATGTAAGAGCTACAGCTCCCCAGTTGCATGGCCTGATGAACCACTACCAAGCAAACAAAGACAGGTGGACTACCACATGCAGCTAACCAGGCAATTTGCTAATGAAAACTATAATTGAAAACACTGAAAAGACTAGATCTTCTCATGGATAAGTTTAGAATTGATTGATGCAGTTTTATGGGCTGCTAGTGGTTCAGGAGAATCAGCAGTTTAAAGACGTAAGAGATACCATAGGAAGTGATGTCATCCCTATTTGTATTTTAAGACCTGATTTTCCTACCTTTGAGTAATAGCTCAAACATATGCCTTACAACTCCAAGATTTTCATTTAGTTCTAGTTTATCAGGTGTATTATTTAGTACAACAGGCTTACAGGCTGCTGAAAACTTACTCCTGGTGACATGAAACCACTGCAGTAGCTACGTGTACCCACAATGACACTGTTTTTTTGCAAGGACAGCGCTCCGTGAGCTAATCTGTAAGCAATAGGAAGGTGGAGACGCCTTCAGGAGTAACTCTTCAGGCAGCAAAAAAATGACTTTACATTCCTCCCCATTCTGCCTTAAGAACCAGTTGTTCTTGCAGGGACCAAGGACCAAAGACTCTGCAGCTCAAATCACTTTGTGTGTCCATGTCACTTTTCTCAATGAATGGGATCACTCTATAGCACATTCCCTTTAAGAACCCACATTTTTCAGGAGATG